TTAATTTTTTTCTTCTAAAGACGCACTTAGAGATGAGGCCATTCATAACTGCCCATCCGCAGACAGTTAGTGGTATGGTAATTGACATTGAGTCTGTTGAAAAAGGGGGGAAAAAGAAAATGCTGTTTTAATAACCTTGGCCTAAAACACATTTTGCTGTATGCCTCAAAGGATTTCAATAAAAAAAATCAACCTGTACAGACATATTTTCTTGGCTTAAACAACAATCCAAAGCATATAAATGTAGTCCAACTATAACGATATATTTATGGGCCAATAAAGCTTACACTGCGGCTTTCATACCTCACTTAAAGGAACTCTGTGAGAAACAGTGTTATATAAAATGATTTGATTTTTTTTTTTTCCGAACTATAGCCCAAGGAATAAAAAATGCAAGTTTGCTATGTTTAACTGATAGTATTTATACTCCTAAGTGGCTAAAATTTTTGTAAAATGAAATAATTCTTCATTTGACTACTCCTAACTGCCATACCAAATATGGGTATCAGGTCCACTTTATTACAAAGCTAAGTACTGTAATTCTAAAGACAAAAATAAATAACTAAAGGCTTGTGTAGTGAATGATTTAATCAGTCTGATTCTTCTGGAAGAACAGGTTTTTGTGTTTGTTATGCTTATGAATAACACATTCCTTAACGCTTCTGTTTTTACATGGCTATCTTTCTTCACTTAAAAAAAAAAAAAATTTCAGTATGAAATGAGCTGAAAGAGTAACCCCCAGGAAAGCCCCAATTGGTGTTGGTTTCAGGTGGAACTTTCTTTTCGAGGGACAAAGCAGGGGTGGGGTGGGGTGGGGGGAGAAATGTGCTGCATCACATCTCAGAAGTGTTTATTGTTTTAATGATTAGCTTGTTCACTCTCCGCATCTGTAGTTGTTGCCAGCACTCATTTCGAGTCTTAAATGAAAACTCTGGAAGGTTTTAAAAAACAAACAGAACACCCTCAAGGGGAGAGGTGATTTAAAGAAAAAAAAAAAAAAAAAAAAACCCCCGACAGGGTGGTGACTGCCGCTGGTGTAGCCATGGGGAGCCGCCACCACCGGGCAGCGTTTTTTCTGTGTACAGTGTGAATCTGTTGCCAGACACACATTTGTGTTGTTTTGTTTTGTTCCTTGACTAGTCACAGGGAGACAGGAAATGACACACACCGGGATGGGAGGGAACTGACTAACACTGAACGAGAGGAGTTCTTTCATTTCATTGGCTTTTTTTTTTTATTGTAAAAATCTGTCTTTAAGAGTCAACCTATTTTTTTCGTTATTATTGGTAGTTTTACCAGGCTAGGGGAACTGGGCTTTTAAAAATCTAGGACACTGAAAGTTTATCTTTATCCACAAAAAGGTGAGTTTTCCATTCTTTGCTCACTTCCGGGCTAGGAAGGGGGGAGGGTCCTTAAGCAATCTCAAAGTTCATCTTTTCTTGGATGAGGACAATGAGGAAGGTTCTACAGAAGGAAGCTGAGAGCTGCCACTAACAATGTGGTTGGGGGTGGTTTTGGTGTGGCACAGGGAGAGAGACAGACAGAGATAGACAGAGAGAGAGAGAGAGAGAGAGAGAGAGAGAGAGAGAGAGAGAGACAGAAAAACAGACACAGAGAGAGATAGACAGAGACAGACAGAGAGACACAGAGAGAGACAGAGACAGAGAGACATTGACAGAGAGAGAGAGAGACAGAGACAGAGACAGACAGAGATAGACAGAGACCACTGAGGTAGAAAGAAAGGCCAGCAAATGTTTTGATGTGACATCCAGAGAAAGGAAGAGGCTGAGGAGAAAGTCACCAGGACAGGACTGTGCCTGGCCAAGGACACCCGCTGCATTCCTGGTCTAAAAGTCCCCGGTCGAAATCCCAACAATGTGGACTCACAAACTTCAGATCAGAGAGATAATGGAAACTCGTTACATTAAGGAAAGTTTGTGTTTCTCTTTGCACATTATTACAACACAGTGTGCATTCCAATTACGAAAGCTATTTGTCTCGAATTCCCCACAGTTCATACCAGCCCAGCAGAATTTCAAGGCCTTGAATTCTATCCTTAAAGGGGTACTTTATATTTACAAATATAAAAGGTATGTAGTCTTTCTTGTCTCCCAGAGGGTCTGACAATCAAGCTTCCTGTTGCGTATCTTCCCTTCCCAAGCAATAATCTCAGAAATGGGTCCCAAATCTCTCTCTCTCTCTCTCTCTCTCTCTCTCTCTCTCTCTCACACACACACACACACACACACACACACACACACACACACACACACACACACACAGCCCAAATCATCTGGGAAGCCCTTTATCAGTCCATATGTTTTGGCTTCACCTCAGTCCCACCGAGACAAGTCTAGGGCAGCTAGACCGCCATTAACTAACTGGGTTCTCCTTAGTAAATCTAAAATGCAATTCAATTCCAAAGCCACTAGTCTACATTTTCAAGACCAAATCACCAGCAAATGCTTTGAATAGTTAGACAAACTCACTTCTTCTGGAACCAACTGGGGGGGGGGGGGGGAGACATAGATTATAGACATTCTTCTTTTTTTAGAATCCAAGATTCTCGAACTGTCTTAAGATGGAGTTAAGAAATTGGGCTTCTTTTTGTGCTCATTAATAAACTATCCCTTCGAAACCCACAACAGCTCTGCTATAAATACTCTTGTTTACATGTGTGACTTCAAGCTTAACCATCTACATAGCCCGTTGTCCCCATCATGGGTTTCCTGTTTAGTGTTTTATTAAAACACTACATTCTATAACTCAAAGGAAAAAAAAAAAGGATCAAACAAAGAAAGGGTTTAATGTTAAGGAAAAAACAAGACAATGGAGATACAGTGGGGATCACACATTAAGAAGCCAACGCAGCAGATTCGTTATTATTCAACCTTCTCACATGTCATAAAAGTTGTCAGGCTGTGTTGATAAAACTGGGGCTGTTAGCTGTAAATATGTAAAGATGATTTAAAAAATTCCTTGGCTTAGAGGAAAGCACACTAGCTTAATAATTTTTCTCTAATTGTGCACACGACAACTTGGCTGCGTGTCTGAAATGTTACCATCCGACGTCTATCAAAAGGCTGCCAGGGACCAGTTGATACTGAACTGCAGGATGGTCTTCCCAGTATTGCTCAAACAGCACAGCTTACCACAAACCAGAGTCACATGAAAGAAGAGTCAGTTCCCTGGTGCTCTCCAGCCTCTCTGTGTCAGTTAAAAGAAATCATCAAGGTTTCTTGTAAAAGCTAAGTTCTAGGTTTAAAAAAAAAAAAAAAAAGAAAGAAAAAAGAAAAACCAGGAAGTTGTCACATTAAGGCATAAACCAAAGCCCTGAAAATCAGCATTATGTTAGAATGAAAGAAAAAGATGCCTCGATATGTCAAAAGTGAAGTTCCTCTTTGTGAAAAGAGGAAATAACTAGTCTAAAACAGAGGTCAGTTGCTTTGGTCTTGAGTAACACTAGAGGAGTCGGGCAGTGAAGGCCACTGAGGGTACAAGTAAGTCAAAACAAAGAGTGGACATAGTGTCACCGTCACGGGAGGAGCGGTTGCTGAGGCAGGAGAATTCCTTCACCATGTGAGACCTTTCATGTCCCTATTTTCCACATGGGAGGACAGACAGTTACTCCTTAACATGTTTACCTAAGGTCACACAGCCAAGGGGCAGAGTTGATAGTCAGATAGGGCCAGGACACTCCAAAGCTGGAGAAAGAATCTTTCTAGAGTCCAAACTCTCCTTTGCGGGCGATGAGGAAGAGGGATTAAACCTACAGCTGATGAAGGAAGCTCAAGGACGTCTACCCCAGCAGTTTCCAGCTTGTTCTATCGCCCCACAGCGAGTGAATCACCATTTTGCCTCGTATTGCTTCATACCTGAAATTCTGACTTGATATTCCTAGATGTCATACTATCCACCTACAGCCAATATTTCAAGTCTCCATTAATTCAATGTTAGCCCTAATTAAGTCTTAGATAAAACTTTATTTGAGGCCACGTGCTCTGTCACCCAATAAGGGGGATCACATAAAGGAGACCCTATAATAGAACAGGCCATACACAGCCCTTCCCACCCAGGCATTTCCAAATTCATAGTCTTGGACTCCATTAGAGTAAAGCAAATTATATAAACATATATAATACAGCTACATATAACTTCTAATAAAAATTATATACCATAATGTTATGTGATACATAATTTCATAAGATATAATTCTTTGTGTGTGTATTTATAGGTACACAGTGTATTTCACTGTGTTTGTATGTACATATGTCTGCCTGTGGAGGTTAAAAGACAACATCCTGTATTGTGCGCCTCAGAAGCCATCAATCTTGGCTTTTTTTTTTTTTGAGACAGAGTCATTTCTTGGCTTGGAACTCATCTATGTGGTCACACAGGGTGGTCCCAGGGGTCCTCTGGTCTCTGAATTCCCCAGTGCTGGGACGACACGCATGGACCATTGTGCCTGGCTTTGTAATACGGATCCTGGAGATCAAATTCAGGTCCTCCTGTTCATAAGGCTAGCATTTTTCTATCTGATCTATCTCTCTAGGCCCTTAATCTAAAGATTTATATAATTTATACATAATTTTTATTTCTCTAAGTGTGTGTGTGTGTGTGTGTGTGTGTGTGTGTATGCTAGTGTACATGTGTATATCATGTGAACATGAGTGCAGGTACCCTCAGAGGCCGGAGGCCTCTGATTCCCCTCAAGCTGAAGTTTCAGAGGGGTGTGAGCTGCCCAGTATACGTGTTGGGAGCTGAACTGATGTAGTCTAAAAGAGCAGCATGGTTCTTACCCAACACTGAGCCATCTCTCCAGCTCCATAATGTAAATTTGTTACATAATTCTTACATATTACCTAGTTCTCATATATATAGTTCTTACGTCATTTCACGTAACTAAACAGATAGTAAGGTTTCGAGAACAATCTACAGCATGGAGGTAGCTCATTGCACAATCCCCCCACACTGGATTTAGAAGCCGGCGCCATACTTACCAAGATCGGCCTTCTCCTTGAGAACGTCCTTGAAGTTGAGCCCACTGTTGAGGGTTGACTGTCTGTACCTGAGCAGGGCCTCCTTCTGTCCATTTCTTCCACAAGCCTCCGTTTTCACCGGGGTGGCTCGGAGCCCACATCTCCACTTGGAGAAATCAGAATGCGCCCATTTGACCAAATCTTCCAATTTCACGATCACCTTTTCGGAGACGGCGATGACCTCATCCTACAGGAGGTGGGATAAACAGAAAATGTTATTCTGGGTTTGAGGAACGTGATCCTTTCTCAGCAAAAGCTCATCTGGATGCCACAGGGACGGTCTAACCTTCAGCCAGTGGTCTAACCTTGGACAAGCAGACAGTGTGTGGCTTTTGGGATGAGAAGAGTCCCATGAATTCATTCTAGCTCACTGGCTTTCCAGGCCTCTTTATTTAAAGAATAATTTATATGACATGTTTGCTATGTGTTAGGAGGTCCCCCAAAATAGGGCAGTAATTCTAACAGGCATTTTAAATGCCAGTCACAGAGCCCATCTACCTACCTAGCTCCTTGAGTGAAAGCTAATTTTTAGGTGCAATTAATTGCAAATGTAAAAAGCGAGGCTGGATGACTAATGGTTAGTTTTCATATAAATGGCCTAAGTAAATCTAGAATTCTTGGAACTCTGACTCACCCCCAAATTCCTATGTTTATGGTACATTTTCCCTTGGCTTATACACAAATATTGAATTTAACTTTTGTCCTAAAAATTAAATAAAACTGTGATGTAATCCCCAAAGAAATACTTCATAAATGTTATGTGCTTCCCACTGAAGGCAACTTACACATTCTCGTGTTTCTGCAAAACTTTGCAAGCTGAGAAATGAGTGGACTTTTTTTTCTTCTCTTTTAATACATATTGGGGGAGGGGAAGGAGGGTGGTGAGAAAGCCTTTGAATCTAAGAAAAGTCGTTGAAGCTTCAGTTCCTCCCAAGGATCATAAATTTGAATCTTAAGCATCTCTAATTGCTTCCAGGAAACAAGTTTTCTGCCTCAGAATTAACCCAGCAAGATATTTAGTAGATATCTATATGAAGAACAAAGAGGGGGCCTCTGGCCCAGAGATTCTCTGGAAAAGCCTTATGGATATCCTCTCTCGGGCTCTAAATAAACTTATTTGAAGCATTTGACATTTTAACTTGAACTGACTTTCTTTGACTGAACATTTCTGAAGAAAGCTTAGCTGTGAAAAACCCCTAAAGCTTACAGAAATTTTCAAAATAGTTCCGACAAAACAACAGGACGATGTCGCTAAGCTACTAGACACAGCGGAACTCGGCTAATTTTGCTCTTAAATGCAACCCTCTCTTCCCTACCCTGCCTACACATGTACAAACGCACCCCGACAGCACCCCCACACACCACATGCCACATACACACCACACACACACATCATACACACAAACTCCACACACCACACACACTCTACACACACACACACCATACACACACACTCCACACACCACACACACACATCATACACACCACACCACACCCACTCTACATACACACACACCATACACACACACTCCACACACCACACACACACCACACCACACACATTCCACACACCACACACACACACCACACCACACACACTCCACACAGACAAACCCATCATACAAACCACACCACCTATCCCCCCCCCACACACACACACCCTACCCCCACACACTGCTCCAACTCAAACAAAAAGGGTTTTATTAAAGATGGTGTTTGCACAGTAAGGAACACTCAGTTTTGTTCTTTTAAATGTTTTAAGGTAAGAGGTAAATTTTGCTTTTCCTTGTCTGGTTCAGGACTGCTTCTGAGAAAAAAAAAAGTTTATTAAATAGAGCAGTCACAAGGACTCTCTCAAGAATGGAAAACAAGACTGAGTAACGGGATCCTTTCTTTTATCTTGATCAAATATGAACTTCCAGTAAAGGCAGACAAAGTGGAAATTGTGTTTTACCCTCTTCTCAAGAAAATACCTCAAGACTTTATAAACTGTGGAGCACATTACAAAGTGCATTTGCAGGGCTGATTTCACACCCAATCACCACACCAGCTTCTTGAAATAGAAGACCTCTGCTTGTCCTGCATTTTATAGCTATTACATGATGATTATGAAATGTCAGAATAAAAAAAAAAAACAAAACCCAGGCTGGGTATTGTTTCCAAGCATATGGGAACAGCTTATGGGATGGGAAGGGGGTTGGATACACCAGCCACAGCATTTAGAATATTCTGGAAAATAATTAAGTAGCATGGTATATTAGTCTCCACATTAGCACAGATGGAATTTGGCAACGTTTTGACCAAATAAGGCTTCCTAGAATAGACAAGTTTGGAGATGAGTGTTATTCTCAAATAGCCCTGTGATCAAATGATTATCATTTCAATTACCAGTTGCTTCAGATCTTTTCTGAGAAATGACATGACTGGTCCTGGCTGCCTTACAGCACCCGCCGAGCAAATAGTTTATTAACCAAGAGAAAATACAATCCTTATGATGTCATTAATGAATAAACTTGTCTTTCAAGATCGTCTCTATAGATTTGACCTCAACTTTCTCTCTGTCTCTCTCTCTCTGTCTCTCTCTCTCTGTCTCTCTCTCTGTCTCTCTCTCTCTCACACCCCCCCCACACACACACACACGGGGGTGGGGGGGCAGAAGTTCACCCAAACATATAAATCAAAAACCCAAGTTGGGATTAATTGTGAACACAGCCGTGTGCTTTATGTGGATTTAGAGAGACCCTGTCTCTTCACCATTGTTAAATGCCAGGGGTTTAAAGGAAATCTGATAAGAATGGGAAATAGCACACAACCCCCTGAAACAAAACAGCCCACATGTACATGGAAAATGTGTCAGGAAACCTTGCTTTGTGCACACAATGGCATCTGTCTCATGTTCATACTCATTATTCTGAGTCAGTGCTGACTAACTTTCTCATAGTGCCCGTTCTTGGGCAAGTCTCTGTGTCTATGAAAAGAATCCCAATAAGCTCACGCCATGATTACATGAGCTCTGGGCAAACTGAGAATTAGCGCTGAATAAATATCCCTGATTTACTCTAATACAACACGAGAGGATCACAAAGAAATACACGTCGTTATTCTGTTAATGGACCCTGACTTTTCAATTAACCCAGTGTTTAATCAATATTTATGTAGGACGTGTTAAGACACTCACTACTACGTCCTTTTCCCCTTCCTCATTGTTTTAAACTATTTCTGTAATTGGGGTTTTATTTCAACCACTCTACCAAAACCAGTTCATTGAAGCATGAACTCTCTAAGTCAGAACAGAAAACCTGGGCCAGAAGTCTCAGAGGAGCCAAGTCGATGGCATGGCTGGCCCCTCCGCACATTATAAACGTAGGAAAATTTACACATAAAAATCTAGACTTCAACCTTCTCATATAAAACAAAATAAGGAAGGAGATGAAAAAAAAAAAAAAAAGGAACAAGCCAACCAAAACCAACAACAGAAACCACCAGAAACTGAACAACACACGCTTTCTTTTTTCAACCTGTGAAATCCCCTCTAGGCTCTGAGTTAACATCCAGTTGCGGTCCCCCTGCCCAGCCCTGCCTAACCCAGACACCAGCCATTTCAGTGGACACATCTGGATTTGACCCATCTCCTTTGTGTACCTGATGAGGGCCCTGAAAGTCAGTGACACACCTTAGTGCTGACTCACCTCAGGGCTTGGATGGTAACCCAGGTTTCCTCTCTGGTGACTGCAGCCGAGGGGCCTAGGTTCAAATCCCAGCCCTGGAATTTGTTGCTAGGAAACACGGAGCCACTTCTTTAACCTTCTTGGGCTTCAATTATTTCGATACATATTTTTCTTTTAAAGGGTGATACCAGCTACAGGCCGCAGGCATTGGCAGGATGTATGGGGTTGACACCAAGAGTTTATCAGACTTAGTCATGGGCTATTATTTCTCTATCGTTGTGTCTTTCAACTGTGATATGCAGAGATGAACTTAGATGATTCACAGGAAACACACACACACTACATTTGAAACAATGATGAAAGAGCAAAGGACATAATGAATATCTTAATGGAGCTCACATACGCATTGATTAAATGCTGCGTTAATTTCAAAGCTTAGGTGTGTGTGTGTGTGTGTGTGTGTGTGTGTGTGTGTACACAAATATAATTAAGCAAGGAGTAATGTGTTACATATATTATGTCACATAATTCCTTGCTTAATTATTTTGTGATTATTTTAATTACTGGAAATTGATACTTTTTTCCAGCTGTGTGAAGTATAGAAAGTTTTTTCTTTAAATAAATTTAATTTTTTAAAAAGGATCAATTTTAACAGAGTCACAAAGCAAACCCAACGGACATGTGGACATAGGAAAGAAAAGGATACTTCGATGGGATACTTAGAAAATGGCTAAAATATGGTGCAGCACATTCTAGCTGAGATTCTCTAAGGACAGCCCAGGAGCCCTTGGGAATCCCTGGCCACTTCAGGGGATCCACAGAGTTCAATCTAAAATCACCAACACGTGAGTTTGTGTTGGCTTTTTTTTCCTCTCTCGTTCTCCTTCAAGAGCATCGAGGGGTTTCCCTGAGCCTGCAGCTCATGGCAGGTGCCTCCACCAAGAGATTGCAGAAGCAGGTACCAGATCTAACAGTATGAAGCTAGGTGGTAAAGGGATTAACGAAAAACGTAAGACTGTGTAACCGTTCTCATTAAACCTTTAGTTTTTGAGGCTGTATTTCACCTTAGAGCGCGCCCCCTCCTCCTTCATGGTCATTATCCTTTGTCTCACCAACTCCTGCTAACCACTCTTAAGCATCACACGCGTTGAACCGTGCCATACGCCTTCGGCCATGGCTCTTCTCACACAGCACGGTGCCTTGTGAGCCACCCATTCTGTTTCTTGAAAAGACAGCTTGAATCTCGGGTGAATAGTGTCCACGGGGTGGACAACCACAAAGTTTTGTTCAGCCGTTCAAGGACGCAGGGACATCTGGAATGTTCCAATTTGGGTAATTCACACATAGAACTGCTATACTCTTCCACGCCCAGGACTTTGTGTAAGCACACATTCTCAGTTCTCTAGATACCTGGGGGAAGGGTTGGAGGGTGTATCCAATGCTGGAGCAACCCCCCATGTGTTTTCTGGGTGGGCGCTACCACAAGTAATTACTCCTATCCAAGTCATCACTTGACACA